AGGAAGATTTTCATATACATTTTACTAATTTTCTTTCATCTCTGACACTTCTATTATAAAGGGCAAATAGCAATATTAAAATATTTCCTCTAATTAATTCCCTTTTAATGTGCACGAATTTCATGCACCGGGCCACTGGTATAGAATAAAGCCATATAGGTTCTAAGTAAGGAATTTATATTTAATTCTAAAATTTATAGAAAAATTCTTAGAAGGTTTGCAGCAAGGCAGTGACATATTCCAGTTTCCATTTTCCAAAGATCATCGTTGCTATAGTGTGGAATAACTACAGGAAAGAGAGTAAAGAAATGGAGAGACCAAACAGGTTCAGAGTAAAGTGCAGCATGAGGGGTGGTGAGAATGGTAGCGCTAATGAGAGTTATCAATAGACTGAATATGGATAAAGACGGACAAAAATTAAGAATTCAGGGGGTGTTTGGAGGAGGTAGAGGAAGGTATTGGGGGGAAAATGGTGATGGACAGAGACTTGACTTAGGGTGGTGAACACAAAACACAATGTACAAATGATGTGTTATAAAATTGTGCATCTGAAACCTACATAATTTTGTTAACCAGTATCACCTGAATAAATATAATAAAAAGGGGGGGAAAATCAAGTCATGTATTGAGATGAGGAAGCAAATCTTAGAGAAAGAAAATTTTAAATTGTTTTTCCTATGTTAAATTTGAGATGCCCTTTAGACATGCAATTGGAAATACCTAGTAATCAAGTTTGAGATGTGGATTTGGCAGCTGCCAGAATACTGATGGCATTTAAAGCCATGGAATTGAAGAGGTTACCTAGAAAGAGTATAGATGGAAAAGGGGCAGAGAAGGGTAGAGGACAGAGATTGGAAGCACTTTAACCTGCAGTGGAAGGCAAAAGAGAACCAGCAAGGGAGGTTAACAGAGCAGTCAGAGGCAAGGGGAAAACATATTAGTGTGGAGTCACAGAAGTCTAAAGAAGTGTTTCAAGGAAAAGAGAATGCTCAACTGTATTACTATGCTTCTAAGAGGTCAAATAAGTAAGGACTAATGACTGACCACCCACTTTGGTAGGCTGTACCTTTTAAAGGGGTTAACTCTGGAGGACTGAGGAGAGAAGAGGAGATGAGACAGTGATGCTGAGTGGAGCGATAAATCGTTCAAAGAGATTGCTGTGAAGAAGAGCAGAAAATAGAGGCAGTGATTGTAAAGGGATATGAGCTTTGTATTTTATTCTTAATCTGGGCAATATTCAAGACTAACAAGGAGACAAGAAAACATAGGACAGAGGACATCTGCAGTAATAAAAGCCTTGTGCAGAGAGCGGATAGGGAGCACCAGTAGAGGATTAGTCGTAGATACTTCATCCACTGTGATGAAAGGGAAAGCAGAGTATTATGGAGTAAAATTTTAAATATAAACTCTAAATTTATTTCCTTATATGTACATAGCAAAAACATCCCTTCTTTCAGAGATGTAAAGTTCTAAAAATCTAAAGTAGGTCCTAAAATAAAACTGCAAAGTCATTCTTTACATGATAAAATGAGAAACCACTACTTATCTTCCTCATAAGATAAAAGGAGACTCATCCTCATACTTATCAGGCTAAGCTATTCCAAAAGTTATAAATCTAGAATCAATCTACTCTATGCCAACAACTAAGTCATCAGAGAGTGTGAAAAAGTGGCAAAAGTCAACCAGGGTCTCTTCTCTGTAAGGGAAGGAACCCAGCTTTCTTATACAATCACTGAATCCCTTAATTGTAGTACAAGGCTAGTGTTGAAGAAACGTTTATAACTAAATAAAGATATAAACACTACAGAGGGTAGGAGAGGGAGTTGATTGTAACAAGGGAATCTGGAGTGTCAGAAAAGGACTTCCAAGTATAACATTTGAGCTTGTTAGCCTTAAAGGATGCTAAATATTTCCCCAGAATTGGGATGAAGGGATGCAGGGAGGGCATTCCAAAGATCAGCAGGAACAAAGATATGGAAGCATGAAAATAAATGACATATTCAATTCAGTCTTCATGGAGCGTATGTGATTCTCAGATTATAAAGACTTCTGGTTAGTCTAGTCATTCCATTGTTCATTCTATCAGTATTATGTTCTAAGTAGTGTGCTAGGTACTAACAATACTGCAGTACAAGAGACAGTTTCTTCCCTTACAGAGCTTATAGTTTCATCCACAAGTTCCTTTTTAAAACAAAGACACAGGATTCTCTATCTATGGATCCCTCACCACATCTAGCACTCTATTTACTAGAAGAGAAAGGAAAGTGCTATTTGTCTAACTGAAATTTGGCGTTTTAAAAGGGATGATCCAACACAAATAACTTATGAAAAATAAACATTCAGTACCTCCCTACAACTGGAGAAAAATACAATACTTTTCTTCTTCAGGTGGCTTCTCAAGAAGGAATAGAGTACACTTATTTTTTGCTGCAGCTGACAAACTATGTAGTTCTGCTCCAAAGTGGCAGGAGTGCTTATGGAAATAAAAGGAGGGAAAACATTAAAAACATGCCATGTTAGTAATTTTGAAAACCAGACCAGAAAAAGAAGAACTCAAATATTACAGTTGCATGCCTCTCGGGTATTTCTCTCTGTCTCTCTCGCTCTCGCTGTCTGTCTGTCTCTCTCTCTTTCTCTCTCTCTCTCTCTCTTTCACTGAAGGAACTTGCTGAGCTGATGGTAAACTTCCACATCTTAATAGGGACTTGGGTTACATAGATATACATATTTATCAAAACTCAGCTAACGTACTCTTAATTTGTTCACTGTATGTAAAAATTACATCAAGATAGAAAACGTATATATTGAATTCTACTTAGTGATATGTGCACTTAAATACCTAAAGGAAGTGAACAGATGGCTTCAATTTACTTTGAAATGCATCAAAAATATGTGGGTGTATAGTTAGATGAACTGGATAAACGGACACTAAATGAATGCTACTACCATTAGGTAGCATGTAGGTAGCAGGTATAAGGTGTTCACTGTAAAATTCTTTCAATTGTGCTACATGTTTGAAATTTCGCATAATAAAATGCTGAAAAGATATATACATATATTTACTCTTTGAACTAATAAGACTACTGATAAACATACAAAAAGATATGGTATTATTTATAAAGCAAAAAATGAAAATCAACCCACATTAATAGAGAACTTGTGGAATGAACTACTGTGTACCCACACAATTAAGTATCTTGCAGCTGTAAAAAAGGAATGAATAATTCATCCACATATTATCTGGCTATACAAAATACACACACACACACACACACACATTCATGTACACAGGCATCCCTGTGTCTGCTTATAACTTTAAAAAAGAGGCAGATGCCCAGCAGATGTGGCTCTGTGGTTAAGCATCGACCCATGAACCAAGAGGTCACCAGTTCAACCTACATGCCCAGGTTGCAGGCTCAATCACCAATAGGGGGGGCGTGCAGGAGGCAGCCAATTGATGTTTCTCTCATAAATGTTTCTCTCATAAATGTATGTCTACCCCTCTCCCTCCCTTTCTCTCTCTTAAAAAAGGGGGGGGGAGCAATAGAAACATTTTAAATTAAAAAAAAAAAAAGAAGCAGACAAACCAAAACCTAAAAATTGGTTATCCACTGGGGGATATACAGAAGAGAATTTAATTTAAAAAACAATTAATCCTAAAGATATAGCAAGTTGATAGCTTTAATGACAAAGGAATTTCAAAGAAATTTGAATTGTTGTTACACTTACTGGGATATTTAAGGGGAAAAAATGCAAAGGAATCTTAATTTTCTTAAGTAATCATGTTGTTAGCAATATTATTAGTATTATCCTGAAACTTTAGATATAATACCTAATAAATGGAACAAATAAGTAAAAGACATCAGGAAAGAAGATGTTTGGCATAAGAAAAATATACATATATGAAAATCAAAGAGGCTGCAAAAATAAAAGGCTTAAATTTGCTTTTTAAGTATCAGCATGAACTCATGACGTGTTTCTCTTCAAAAAAATAAAATAAGCCTGTCCACTGAAAAACCTGAACACAATGACCATCTCATAGCACCTAGACCAGTGATGGCGAACCTATGACATGCGTGTCAGAGGTGACACGCGAACTCATTTTTTTTGGTTGATTTTTCTTTGTTAAATGGCATTTAAATATATAAAATAAATATCAAAAATATAAGTCTTTGTTTTACTATGGTTGCAAATATCAAAAAATTTCTATATGTGACACGGCACCAGAGTTAAGTTAGGGTTTTTCAAAATGCTGACAGGCCAAGCTCAAAAGGTTCGCCATCACTGTCCTAAACACAATATCCTACCAAAGGAATTTTACATGGGATGGAAACTTAAGGTGAACCTAAAACACCAGAAGCAAGGAAGTCCAAAACTACTGGGCTGTGTCTAAAGGATCCAGGTAACAATTTAAAGAACCTCCTATTAACCAAGTTTGGAATGATGAAAGATAATTTGTGTATTAAAAATACAGTATTAATTTTTATTGAAGGATAAATAATAAAGTATGTTTAAATGTATAGGTTAATATCACTAAATAATTAATTCATCTTAAATGTCATTAAGTCAATGAGTTCATTTTAATTTTTTTTAAAAACTGCTCACCTTTGGAAAATATTAGGGAAGCAACTCTTCAGTATAAAAACTGTTAAGTAACAAGAATGAAGCATATATTCTGGTATTCTAACCTCATATAAAAGTACTCCAGTTAAAAAATAATAAAATCAGAATATCACAATTTTGCACATCCTAATGAAATAATGAATCCAGGCAATCATCATCACTGACTACTAAAATTATAAGGTTACAAAGCTCTCATTCCTGTCATAAGAAGCTGTTTGTATCAGATTGATCCTTTGTTTTAGAAAAGCCGGATTAAATATAAAACAAAAAATACTGTAGGCATCAGGGAGCAACCAAGGCAGTAAGGAGGTGCTGAAGGAGACCTAGAAATGCTCTGTGTAAGCCCCATATTAATCTCCACTTTTCACACAAAGCATCTGCTGATTTACAAGAGAGATGAGAGATAAAGTAGTAGACTTAGACCTAAACATGTCAGTTCAAGATCCTAAAGAATGAACCATGAAAAACCAAATCTGAAATTCTTCATATAATTTTCCCACATATGTCAACTCCTAAACTCAGCACACACTAGGCAAAATGAGTGAAAACAAGCCACAAGTAACAGGGAAGCTCAGAGCAGAGCACAGATCCCGGCAGTCTCACAGTGCCATGAAGTTCAGAGCCTGCCAAGGGGAGGGATGGAAAGATAAACTCCCCTGTCTTTCCCTCGAGATCCCCAGAAAGGCTAGGCCTCTGAGTCAGGGCTATACTCCAGGACTAAGGGCAAAACAGAAACAGAATAGCCCCAGAGTGTAAAAGCCAGAATAGTCCAGGTAAAAGTCCTTACCACATCTCATACCACAAAAAGACATCATTCATGATTTTGCTAAGAACCTAAGAAAATCTTAAAAACCACAAACTACCTTCAAAGGAACAAAAGAACTGTCAGCTACTTTTAACAGTTAGAAAAAAAAATGGAAGTTAGAGTACAATAGAAAGATATCTTTGAACTGAAGAAGAAAAACACCTACCATGATATCCTTCAAAAATAAAATAGATTTTCAGAAAAGTCAAAACAGAATTTTTCACTAGTAAACCTAAACTATACAGAATTTTTTTTTTAGTATGGCACAAGAAATAAAAAACACCAGAAAAGGTCCTGGCCATATAGCTCAGTTGGTTAGAGCATGGTCCCAATACACCTAGGTTGTGGGTTTGATCCCCAGTCAGGGTATATACAAGAATCAACCAAGGAATGCATAAACAAGTGGAACGACAAACTGATGTTTCTCTTTTTTCCCCCTCTCTTTCTCTCAATCTCTCTCTCTCTCTCTCAAATCAATGAACTAAAAACAAACAAAAAAAAACAGAAAAAAATAAGTATTTGGATAACTCTAAATAAATACTGATTTTAAAACAGTAATAATAATGGCTTATGGGGCTTAAAGTAAGTGCAATTAAAATACTTCACAATGGCCCTAGCCAGTTTGGCTCAGTGGATAGAGTGTTGGCCTGTGGACTGAAGGGTCCCAGGTTCGATTCCAGTCAAGGGCATATGCCAGGGTGGCAGGCTCAATCCCCAGTAGGGGGTGTACAGGAGGCAGCTGATAAATGATTCTCTCTCATCATAAATGTTTCTATCTCTCTCTCCCTCTCCCTTCCTCTCTGAAATCAATAAAAATATATTTTAAAAAAATACTTCACAATGAAGGCACAATGGAAAGGAGTAAAGAGACTTAAATAATGGGGTAAGTTAAATGTAAACAAATTCAATCTTCCAGTTAAAAAGCAATTATCACACCAGATTAAATAAGAATAGAAACATATGTAATGCTTTCAACAATAAAGAATTTATAAAAAAAAAAAAAAAGGATTGGACCATAAGCTGCTTACAAAGACAAATCTAAAATAAGGGCATATACAATGTAGAAAGTAAAAGAAAAAGATTTACTAAGCAAATATTAAACAAAAAAAAAAGTTACTATAGGCAGACTAATATCAAATTAGACTTTAAGGCAAAAAGTATTAGTAAAGATAAAGAGGAACACTTCATAATGAAATACTAAATGTGTATGTACCCAATACCATAAGCTCAGAATATCCATCTCAAATTTGAAATGTTTCATAATTCATCATAGATTCTAACTTATACAACACCCACGAAAATCAGCCAATGAATACATAAATAAGTGGAACAATAAATTGATGTTTCTTTTTCTCTCTCTTCCCTTTGTTCTCTAAAAATCAATTGATAAGTCATTTATGAAATAAACGTCTTTGGATACAGTCTTTGGATTCAATTTTATCTAACAATCTCTATAAACTACAGATAACAACCATTATCTATAACCATTGAGAACAGGGATAATTTGTACAATTTACCTAATATAAATTACAAAAGGTTTTACAGACCATCTAATGATTGATGAATCAGTATCTAGAAGACACTATTATGTTTTGAAAACAGGCAAAAAGCAAACTACAAAAAGAAGAAAATCAAAAGACCTAGGCAGTCTTTAGATTATAAAATTAATTGTACCAAGAATTTCAACAGCAACCTCAACACAACTTTACAAGACCAATGTCAACTCAATAGTAAGCCATGGAGGAAACCATACCTCAAGTACCTCTTGCTATCCCATTCCTGAATCCTTGATAAACAAAGCCACCAGTACTCAGATTCTCCTAAGTTTATCCACTAGGATCACCTGGGAGTGTAGAGCCTTGTCTCTGAAGCTTTTTCTAATCCTAGACAGCTGTCAGCTAGGTCAAGGTGGGACTGAATGCCATTTTCCCTATATTTGAAGATGTCCCAGGAAGATAACCCAATTCATTTTTCTAATCTATTTCTTTTTAGGCTAACATTTAACAGCAATAAGTGAAAGTTAAAATAGAGATAATGGTAGAGTTGAATCCATATTGAGATCTTCAACACATTCAATTTATATTCCTAGGAAAGCACTTCTGGAAGTCAAATATGTCCATAGTCTACAATGATTCAAAGCAAACATATACATCCTTCTAAATGTCATAACATCAAAATTGACTTTAAAACATATTTCCCCCCGCCCTAGCCTGTTTGGCTCAGTGGATAGAGCGTTGGCCTGAGGACCAAAGGGTCCCAGGTTCAATTCCTGTCAAGGGCATGTACCTCGGTTGCAGGCTCCTCAGGCCCTGGCCCTGATCGGAGGCAATCAATCAATGTGTTTCATTCACATTGATGTTTCTCTCTGTCTTTCCCACTCTCTTCCACTCTCCCTAAAATTCAATGGAAAAATATCCTCGGTGAGGATTAACAAAAAATAAAATAAATAAATAAAACATATTTCCCCCAACCATTTACACATACCATACACACTCTCTCCCTCTTTTACACTTTCTACTGTCACATAAACATACACACCTTAACTGTCCAGTTTTTAGTGAAAACAAGACAAAACAATAGACATTTTAAACATAAAGGTACTTTGCTAAATATTAATGCATTTTATGTGTTCCACAGCACATTAGTCCTGCATAATGCAGCTATAAAGAAGGATTCCATACCCAAATAACTTTGGTAAATACAGGAAGCTATATTCATCTACTGCTTTGGAGAATCACAATGTCTATGAAAATATCAAAGGTTCGGAGAAGTCTTAAAGAATACTGTTTTACTTTAACTCAACATTCACTATCTATTGAGGAATGCATCTCTCCTCCCCAAGCCTCACCCCACCGCATTTTATGAAGGATAGTTGATGAATAAATACCTGTTAACATCTTATGAGAAAATATTTGTTTCCCAAACCACATTTTGGAAAATCTTCATTAGAGTATTCTCACATTTAATGATGCATTGAGAATTTAAATAATTTTTACTAATATATTTACTATATCTTGCATACCTAATAACTCATAAAATGGTATTTTATTTTCTTTCCTAGAAAAGTAGTATTAATTTGAAATGTCAAATTCTTAAACTAAAAAGAGAGAACATTTGTTTTGATTGCATCAAATATGGTTTCAGACAGCACATACCTGTATTTTGCTTTTTCATGAACCCAGACATACTCAGGGTTTTTCAAACTCAAGCGTGCAAGGTCCTTTACAGATTTGGTTTGTGTTGCTGAGAAAAGCAAGGTCTGACGTTTCTTGGGAAGATTCTCAATAATAGCATTCGTGGTATCAGCAAAGCCCATATCCAAGATTCTATCTGCTTCATCAAGAACTAAAAAAAGAAAATGCAGGTTGAACTACAATCCTATGTAATAAAAATCTAATATGCTAAGTGTCTGGTCATCCATTCAACCAATCAAAGCGTAATATGCTAATGATATGCTAAGGCCGCTCAACCACTCACTATGACTGTACTGATCAGGAGGGGGCAAATGCTCCGACTGGTAGGTTAGCTTGCTGCTGGGGTCCAGCCAATCAGGATTGAGCAAGACAGGCCAGACACACCCTGGAGCCCTCCCGCGGTCCCTCCCTGGCTGGCCAACCTCCTGCATGCCTCCCCGGCCTGATCATGCACCGGTGGGGGCCCTCGGCCTGGCCTGCGCACTCTCACAATCCGGGACCCCTCGGGGAATGTCGAACAGCCTGTTTCGGCCCAATCCCACAGGCCAGGCAGAGGGACCCCACTGGTACATGAATTCATGTACCGGGCCTCTAGTATTTAAAATATACATTAGGCTGGGAGAACCAAGATGGCGGCATAGGTAAGCACCTGTACTTGCTGCCTCTCACAACCACATCAATACCACAACTAAATGGCAGAACAACTACCACCAAGAACTGCGGGAAGGCTGGCTGAGTGAAAGTTTCACAACTAGAGAGGTGAAGAAGGCGCATTAAGACTGGTAGGAGTTGTGGAGGCACAGAAAATGCTGGCACCTGGATGTGTTGCTCTTTTAATCAGGAGGGAGATACAAGCTCCTAATTGCTCTGAACTCCAGTTCCAGGCGAGACTCTGGGGGACCCAGGCACATACAGGGAGAAACTGGACTGTCTGGCATTGGAACAGGAATTCGAGGGCGGCTTTCTCTTAGAGGGGCTCGCAGCAACCATTGTTCCTGCACGGGGACACGGGACGCAGAGAACCGGGGACTTCTCCGGTTCAGGGCTGACTGGCAGCCATTGCTGTTTGCTCCACCCTGGTGATTCCCAGAGACCCCGCCCCACCCAATTTACAACCCCACCCAAGCTGTGCCCATCGGCTTTTGCATATGAATGGCCTGTCCTTTTGCCTAAAACCTGTCAAACTGCAGTTGGATCAAAGAGCCCCAGAGTTTCCAAAAGAAGGCCCAAGGCCCTGCTGGCCTTGCTTCACAGGCTGGGCCTCATCTGGGCACTTCCAAACCCCATACAAAGAGGAGGAATCTGCAGATCTCTCTGTAGCTCCTGCTGAGCGGCCCCAGACAGTGGCTAACCTTGCACCTTCTTGGAGATCCAAGAGCCAGTGTACCCAGTGGCCAGAGTGAGACCATACTGGATTACAACTCTTCACATCCATAAGAGACACACTCAAGGGACAGACTCAGTGAGCACCAAAGTCCCACTGAAGCAAGTCCTTCCCCATAAGGGTGTCTCCTGCATGACAGATCTTCCAGTGTAGATACAGCTGGTCATCACAGCCAATTGACCTGGAGGTCAATTCCTCCCAGTGATA